AATGTACAAGTGCCCCCATTAGCCCCACGTTCCCTGCAGAGCTTCTGCTTTTAAAATGTATAAGAGCCCTGCTGCGACTCTTGCACATTTCAAAAGCAGAATCGAAGCAGAAGCGGTGCAAGTGGAGACTGCTTCAGTCCCCACTTGTGCTATTTCCGCTGTGCCTCTACCTCCCCTGACCCCCATGGAGACAGTGCAGCTTTTAAGTTGGCTCCCCCCAGCACTGGCTCCAACCCCCCCTCCCCCCCCACGATGCCTCTCTCTGATAGAATCAGAAAGGCAGGCGAAGCGACTAGTTGCATCACTAGTTGACTATCCGATTAGCTTCTCTCTGCTCTCAACCAAACTTTCAAATTTGTTGTTTGGAGGATGAAGGTTAAGTTGTTGTGGTCTGTTGCTGATGCTGAGGTCTGCTTCTCTGCTGCCTGTGTTTCTTCCTGAAGTTGTAGCAGGGTGGCTGTCTGTACGACTCTCTTGGTCTGGAATAGTTATATCTGAGCCTCTTACTTGGCGGTGTAGACATGCCTAAAGTCTGTAATGTGGTCCAGGAGTCCTTCATAGAATGTAGGACTTCATCAGTCGTGACTGTGAATAGATTGGTCTTATCAAATGGGAGGCCCTTCTCCTTTGGTTGCAGCTCTCTCGGTATGCCCGATGCTTGAAGGCTCTGCGCATGACGATGGCTGTTGCGGTGGTACGAGCTGCAGTGTCAGCCATGTCCATTGAGGATTGTAGAGTGGTGCAGACAATAGTGTGTCCCTCCTGAATAATACTATGAAGCTGTGGTCTTTTATGCTCTGGAAGGAACTGTGAAAGCTCTTGCAGCTTGGCACAGTTAGTATAATAAGAGTCAGCAAGCATGGCAGAGTAGTTAGCCACTCTCAGCTGAAGCGTTGCTGACAAATATACCTTTCTGCCCAGGATGTCCAGGTGCTTAAGGTCCTTATCCTGGGGAGTTGATCTCATGTTAGTTTATTTCATTTTGTGATGGACTGAGTCGACTACAAAGGAGTTAAGTGGTCAGTGTAAAAACAAAAAATCCAGCCCTTTGTCAGGGGCAAAAAATATTTGTGGTTGTCCCTTTTGTTGGTGGGCATGATGGATGCTGGAGTCTACCAGATATTAACAGCAGGATCCATGATGGCTTCATCCATCAGGAGTGCAATCCTGGATGAGGTAGTAAGCTGCAGGATATGTACGAGTCTGTACTGCTTCTCTTGCACCTCCTGCAGATCGCATTCTTGTGCCACAGCCACCCTCTTAAACAGGTCCTGAAACTGTTTAGAGTTGTCTGTTGGGGGTGGAGTGGTGGGAATGTTGGACTCATCTGATGATGAAGAGGAATTGTGGAGTAGGGAATCTTTCCTCTCCTTTGGAGAGAGTCCTCCTGTGGTGACTGTGGGTGTTCCTGGGTAGGTGGAGGACAGTGAGGTCTTTCGTCTGGTGTGTAAAAAGCAGTGCAGTGGGTCCTGTGGGATGATCAATTGTCCCAAGGATACCACTGGCCAGAATAAGGAGGTGGTGGGTACAGCCAATGGTGAGAATGCCAGTGAGGTGGTGGGAGGAGGATGTGATGACCTTATGGAGTGAGGCTCCCACAGTGAATGTCACTGAGTAGGGCTGGTTGCTGTGTGCTTCACTAAGAAAAAATGATAGAGCTGGTGACCTAGGTGAGTGTATGGAACACACTGCCAAAGCTGGTGAGGGCAGTGCTGAAGAAGCATGGACTGCTACTAATGGGGCTTGTGCGACGGTGCCAAGCCGGGGTGTGTCTTGGGTGATGCCAATGGTGGCATCGGAGTTGATGCCCAAGGCAGAGGCAGTACAGGGTCTCTTCCGTGATGTATCCGATGCCGTCTTGTGCACCAACTTGTGATGTTTAGTCATTGTAGTGGAAGGTGGTGCTGACAATTTGTACTTGGGCTTGGATTGAGCTTGCTTGGGCGGCCCCGAGTGCTTAAGTGGTGCCATGCCTGAGGTGCTAGGCCTGTTGCCCACGCTCTCCCTTGATAAGCTCGGTGCTGGAGGCAGCAATTTTGCTGGAGAAACCCAGGTTTTTGCCTTTGCCTTGTCAGACGAGGTAGAGGGACAACTTTTGTCTATATCTCTTGGTCTGTCTGCATCTTTGGAGCAGTGAGGCGAGTCGTTCCACGCAGGCTGGAGAGACTTCTCGTAAAGATAATTCTTCAATCTATTAGCGTGGTCTTGGTGAGCTCTTGCAGTCAGGTTGGAGCAGTGCAATCATTTTTGCGGTGTGCCTCATCGAGGCACTTCATGCAGGACAAATGGCCATCCAAAGCTGACATGGACTCCCTCCACAAGTCACAACACTTAAAGCCTGTGGAACCAGGCATGTTGAATAGAAAAACAATGAAGAACTGGGGTTTTGGTTTTTTTTTTTTTCAAACTTTATTTTAAAACAAGGAACGGGATGGGAAGGGTTCAAAAACTTAGAAGTGAAGAATAACTGAGGAGATTTATTATTTTTTTGTCATTTCAAATGAGAAAAGGGCGTGTTGAGAGGAGCTCTGTCTGCTGCTGAGGACGGTAGAGAAAGCTACGCGCACACCTAATGGACACCAATAACATGTGGAGGTGTCAGAGCGCGCACAGCATGGCAGGGCACTGCTAGAAAAATCTCCAGTTGCTGGTGCGAGGACACACTAGCACCCAGAGTGGAACATCCATGTGGACATCCCTCAAAGAAGAAGGTCCAGCTTATTTATTTAGCCACATTAACATAGTCCTACTACTTCTGGTGTTTATGTACACACATGGGAGCTGCACCCCCTGCTCACTATGCACGCCCCCTCTCTGTGGCTGCTACACATGACAAGTCCCCCATCTCTGTGGCAACTATGTGCTTCGAAGCCCCACCCTGCGCCCGTGGCCACTTTGTACACCAATCTCCCCTCTATCTGTGGTCTTATCTACTCCACATTTACTTTGCTCTGGTCCCCATGTTTAAGAAAGAGAAGCCCATGCATCAAGCGAGTGTATATTGATCCCTCCACCTGGATTTGCTAGGAACAGGCTGGGCTGGGATCAGCGCAGGAGAGAGGAAGGGGCTCTTTCTTATGGGCTTTTACAGCAGGAGATTTCCTGAACAGCCAGGAGCAGGAAGCCAAGGCACTCAGATCCTGGAGACCAACTCTTCTCTTCCCCCTGATGGGAAATTACCCTCACCCTGTCCTGCTCCACTGTCCTCCATGGTAAAAGGTGCCCCTTCAGTGAGACTCCTCATAGGGGGCAGATCCCTCCCCACGGAAGCCCCCTGGACGAAAGCGCTGTTCCCACCACCTCCAAGTCTCTACCACCCAGAGGGAGACCCTGGATTGTCAGGAAGGTGCCCTCAAATTCCCTGAGATCCCTCTTCCAACTCCATAGCGCACCCTCCTAGAAGCCCTTCGGGGGTTGGCTTGGACTCCTCCACAGGCCCTGTTACAGGAAGTAGCAGCACTGTCCCGACCTTGTCCCTGGGGAGTGGCAGTCCCCTCCCTCCCCCAACAGCTGGATACACCCTCTCCCAGCCTCCTCCTCAGCTCCCTCTCCCCTCGTCCCCAACCTAGAAGAGCTGCAATGAGTTCATGCTACTCTCCTATACCCACCACTTCCCATCCAGCTGCCTCTAGCTCTCCTCCTACTTCTGGGTCCCAGGCCCTACCTCTCTGCAACCCAGACAGGAAGCTGGATGGGAAGCAGCAGGGATGAGGGAGCAGAAAACACCCTACGGGCACCGCTGCCAAGACCTGGGAGCCGGGGCAGGAGGCAGCTGGGCAGTGGGAGCCAGAGTTGGGGCCCGGAGCTGGAGGCCAGCTGGGAGACCATGGTGCGCTCTGAGAAGGGACCAGGAGAACAACCTGGCTAGGCTGGAACCCCCGCCTACTGGAGCCTCTGGGGCCCTTCCCCCTACTCTGCCCAAGCCCAGCCCTGGCTTCGCTAATGGAGGGGAGGAAATCGGCCAAGCCCCAATGGTGAAGGATTCCTGTCCTGTCTCAACCCATGCACACCGCTTCCCCTTCTCACTCTGCTGACACAATGCTGATTATGTCACACTGTCATCCCGCAGGAAAAACCTTGTTTTCTGTTATTTCCATTCCAATTCATCGGATGAAATGGGTTTTACCCATGAAAGCTCATGGTGCTATATATTTTTGTTACTAGTTACATTTAAATTTCAGACTAACGCGGCTACCCCTCAGACTATTTTAGACCAGTAAAAGTTAACAATCATACAGAATAGCAGCTTTGGAACAAGTATATCTCTGATACTTTTTCTTTTCAACTATTAGTTCTGTAGGCCAGTCTAAATATTAGCATACTAGTATTTGGTGCAAAGTTATTAATTCATTCCCATACTGGATAATAAAGTTGTTTCAAATACTCAATAAGTATAAATGGGCAATTCAAAAGAGCTAAAAGTTGCTAAAAGTTTTATTAACAGTATTTCTGAGATGTCACTATAAGTACAGTAAAACTCCCACTGTCTGGCATCCAGTGGTCTGGCACTCCTGATAGTCTGGCACCAACTGGAACCCGGAAGTGCTCCGGCCAGCTGGACAATTGGAGCTGCTCTGCCCCCAGCTTCTCCAAGTCAGCCGCTGCTGAAACTGACCAGCGGCTGACTTGGGGAAGCTGGGGGCAGAGCAGCTGGGGTGCTGCCGGGTTGGTCCCGCAGCGCCACCCTCTCCCACGCTGCGCAGTTCCTCATCAATCCCCCACCCCTACCGCACCCCACCCCCTGATAATCCGGCACCCCCTGAGTCCTAAAGGTGCCAGATTATTGGAAGTTTACTGTAATGTTAGCTGCTCTTCATGTAGTCAGCAAGCCAGCACTAAATTCCATTAGAGAGAAGAATTCTGTTTTTATTTTTTTAAAGAACTTCTGAGTATATACTTAAGTCAACTAACATCCATTAGGCAGAAACATATTTTTTGATGTCACTTTTCTAAGCACTGTATAACAGACTGGTTGAGTGTACACTATATTTTACACTTACAGTTTGCAGATCTTCATATTTCTTCATACAACATTCACAATATCCTTTCTTTTTCTTATCCTTTGGAGGAAGTTGAATTGGGCCTCTCCAGTCTTTGTCACTATTTGTTTTGTTTCTGTTAGAAAAAAAAAGTTGAATGTAAAGCATCAGTTATCTGTCCTTATGAAGTTGGGCCATTAAACTTGCTGATTATAAAATGGTAAAAATATTAAGAAAACAAACATTTTAGAACATCAATCAAATCAGAATGAACAAAAATTCACTTCAGAGTACTGGACTAAGACTCAGGAAACTGGGGTTTTATTCCAGATTCTGGCACTGAACTGCTGGGTAACCTTGAACAATTCATTTTGCTCCCCTATGGCTCAGTTCCTCCATCTGTAGAGTGGGGACAATATTTACCTCCTTTCGTAAAGCATTTTCAGATCTACTGATGAAGAGTGCTAGAAAAGAATTAGATATGAACCAACATGCAGCATAGAACATTAAGCTGATGTAGTTTAGAGACAAATGAAACATATCAGAAGTAGGGATGTAAGAGTTAACTGATTAACTGGTTAGCATGCATACCCGGCTGGGCCAGATAAGCTCCTCACCCAGGGCACAGTGCAGCAGGCCTGGCCAGGCTGGAGCAGCCCCTCTACTTGGGAACCCAGCCCTCCAGGGTTAATTGATTAAAATTTCGTTTAATCAGTTAACTTTTGTAATGGAAATTTACATCCTTAGACAGAAGCACTAGAGTCATTTAGCAATCAGGAGTATACAATTTACAACTGATGGACAGAATCAAGGCAACAATTAGAAAGTGTGACCTGAAATTTTATGTTATTCTATTCTAGAACCAACGTTGTGTAGCTCAGACTTATTGATGCACAAATACTCAAAACATACCCTACCGTCACAAATCACAACAAATACAGTAACCTAAGTGCCTCACTTTCAATGAACAAAGTATAGAGCAGTGTTTCTCAACCTTTTTTTTTTATCAAGTACCCCTTTTTCAAAACAAATAAATAAATATAAGTACTCCCAGTAACTACAGTTTTCAGATATACAATTTTTTTTCTACTGTTGCAACACATTTGTTTAAACAACTTAATCTTAGCCGGGCGAGCGATGAAATTTTTGGGTGTAAAAATAACAAAAATAATAAAACGCTGTAAAACTTAAAATAAATTTCAGTTGTGTTGACGTATACCCAGACTTCTCTCGAGTACCCCTAAGGGTACTGGTTGAGAAACACTATTATAAAGCCTTCCTTTTCCAGGCAAACTAATCCATAAACCAGCAAAAACCAGTCCCTGATGCCACTTGTTTCCTACCAGCATTCTGGAGCCCTTCTGGTCAGATTTCAAGCCACTATAAGAGACAGAGGCAGCAGTTTCTCTAGTGAATGACCTCCTCCTGCTTGAACATATCCCTATGTCTGATTTCTGTTGATCAACTACTATTACTGTCTTGCTTTCAAGAAGTCGAAACTGTAAAATGCCCTATGCACATCTTATATTAAGCCCCTGAGAGTTCTTTTCAGCAACTGTTCCTCTACTTTCTGAACCCTCAACTGTGGAGTCAGGATCAGTTCTCTAACCCCACATTTTTCAATAGCTACATGAACATATTGGGAAGCATGTGTGACAAGAATGCTGCACCAGTAATATCAGTATGCCAATGGTAGCCAGCCCTATATCTTTTACATCAAACGAGCAGTACTATCTGGCTATCTAGCCAAAAATCAGCATCTTTCTATTGATTCAGACTTGGCCAAACTAATCCACACACATGACCTCTAGGGTTGATTACGATAACCCATTATATGAAAGAACAGAGTGACATGCCCTGAAAAAGCTTGTTCTGGTACAAAATGTAGCAATATAATAACATCAAACTATAGCTCCTTCAAGCTGGAAAGGGAGACACATCATTATTTCTAATTTAATATTAGTTAGCATGGGCCAAATAGAATAAGAACTTGTCCACACATTCAGTGGTTCAGCCACATCACTACAGCATTTAGTGAAGATGCTACCTACATCAAGGGGAGAGCCTTTCCCATTGGAGTAGGTACTTCATCTGCCCAGCAGGCAGTAGCTATATTGACTGGAGAAATCCTTACTTTGAAATAATGCTGTCTACAATAGGGACTAGGCTGGTATAATTACACTGTTCAGACATGTGGATTTTCCAATGTAGGGAGTGTGTGAGGGAGATGGGGTACAGGGAGGAGATGCAGCTCCCACCCCCCCAAGATCACCAGAGGGGGAAGACCTTGGAGAGGGGGAGGCCCCCTGAATCACTGGGAAGGGGAGAGGCTGCACGGGTCGTGGCTTCTGCCCCTCTGAGCACCGGGGAGGAGAAAAGCCACGCAGGTTCCAGGGCCACATGACTTGCAGCTTCGCACCCCCTCTGAGCACAGGGTAGGGGAGAGACCACGCGGTCCCTGGGTCGTGTGGCTCGTGGCTTTGCCTCCCCCCTGCGGAGCACCAGGGATGGGGCTACTTCGGGGCATCCCCAGACCCTGCACGGAACCCAAGTACTGTGGAAAGGGGAGGGTGGAGGCAGGACACAGAATGTCATCCTGCAAGAAAAGTGTTTTTTTTAATATATAGAGAGATATAGCTGTCTATTTTGAGGATTTTTGATTATGCTCTTAATTTTACAACAGGTAGCAATAGTGGCAATATTTACATTTCAAACCAAAAGGACAAGGTGAGAAAGTTCTGCGAAACAGAAAAGAATTTTTAGAATGAAGCTGCCACCTCAGCTCACTATCTTTAAAAGTCACTGCAGTGAATGCTATAACATCAGTTTTAGAAGTCAATGCGATAAAGCAGTTCCAGGCAACTAAACTACCAGTTGGAAGGCGTTCTGGGTCAGAATCAGAGCCTGATACTTCAGAAAGTGCCCCATTAGACACTTAATTAGATAAAAATCATACATGTAATGTGCCAAAAGGCATAACTTTGAACAGCAGTGCTAAAAATGCAGACTCAGTGCCAAATACAGCACATGACCACTTAAGTGCAAGGTCAGCACAAAGCTGATCAACTGCATATTCTTATTGCCCGTGTACTCATACAGAAAGTATTCAATGTTCACCTCTCAGGGAAGATACAACTTCAAGCAATATTAGGATATGGAACATTGAAAATTAAGTTTACATGTAAATTTAGTGAATTCTGCAGCATCATACAGTTTTGGCACCATGAGTTGGGATGATAGTTTTAAACAAATTTAGTTAACCTTCAGCATTTTATTGGCAAGTGACAAGTTAATAAGGTGAACAGCTCTGGAGCCAACATAATTCATTTCTTGCTGTACTTACTGGAGGGCAGCCAAAAGGAGGACAAAGGCAAGGTATCAGCAAGGGAAAGGAGGAAAGAGAAGAAATATCACAGCCTGCACTGACCCACAGCAATACATTTATGATGCCTGCATCTGTACATCCAAAAAAGGACACAAAGAAAGAATAAAGAAGGGAAAGACAAAAACTGACAAAATTACTGCTTCACCAAATGAGACATTGGTATTGGTATAGAGACCCATGTAAGCTAATAATAAAGAGGATCCATTTTTTTAAGAGCCCAAAAAAGGAATTTCCATTTTTTTCAACAAACCTTTGTTTAGACTGAGTTTGTTTTTGGCCACTAGCAATCTTCTTATCTACATCAAAAGGACTATAAGGTTTTGGAGCAGAATAGTTGAGAACAGGAAAGCTGGAAAATTGCAGATAAAATGGTCTGTAATGGCTGTAACAGAAAAGGAAATAGTTGTATTAGAATAATTAAACCCGAAATTCAGAAAATAAAACATCTATTTAGATCAAATTCAATATACCCTAGCATTCAGAACAATTTCCTCCAAATAGGCAAGATAGAGTGGTGCCAGAAAAGGGATATGTATCCCATCTATGACAGCACTGCAGCTCAGAAACTCCACTGCTTCAAATCCATCCACTACTTCCTGAACATTGAAAAGAGTTCCTGTCCTGTGCTGTGAGATATACTTACTGGCCTTGCACTCTTAGGCTACATCTAGACTATATCTCTCTGTCGACAGAGAGATGTAGATTAGGCACATTGAAATTGCTAATGAAGCTTCATTAGCATAAACATGGCCACCACTTTTTCTCAAAATGGAGTTTTTTTAAAAAAAGCGGCAGTCTAGACGTGGATCTGTCGACAATATACCCTTTTTCGACAGATTCTGTATTCCTTAAAAAAATGAGGTTTACAGGATGTTGAAAAAGGGTTTATTGTCGACAGACCTGCGTCTAGACTGACATTTTTTTTTGAAAAAAACTCCATTTTGGAAAAAAAGCAGCGGCCATGTTTATGCTAATGAAGCACGGGATATTTAAATCCCTGCTTCATTACAATTTCGATGCTCCTAATCTACATCTCTCTGTTGACAGAGGGATGCAGTCTAGACGTGGCCTTAGGCTACATCTAGACTGCAGAGTTTTATTGGAAAAAGATAGGCAAATTGCAAACTGCAACATACACAGGGCCAAATTTGGAAAAACCTTCTCTTTCGGAACATCCCTTATTCTTCTCGCCAAGAGGAATGCAGGGATGCCGAAAGAACACACCAGCTTTTTCGGAAACTGTTCTGAAAAAGCAGACGCATTCTCTGGATGCAACAGAGCATTGCAGTCTAGACATAACCCATTTCTTTCCAACGTATTGTCATCTAAGGCTAAGTACATGTTTGATTTATATGGTTGCCATTTTGGTTGAATCCCCATCTTGAATTGGCAAAAGGACAACCTGGCCTCCATTTTGGTGCCCCTTCTTCTTCAGCCTTTTGGCGCCAAAACAGAGGAAAGGGCGGGAACATGGACAGTAAATCTGCCTAGCAACTGGAAAGCATATATGGAAACGTCTGTCACTCTGACAGGGCTCTGCGTCTCTGGATGCTGTGCAAGCAGGTCATCCCAGTGTGGCACAGAGACCTCCCTCAGTGAGCCAGCCTTGCTGAGAGCTAGAGCCAGGGGAGATAACATCTAGATAACATCTTACATTCACACACAAACCACACAGAGAGTGTCCGCATATCACACGCAGGATGGCGTGAGACAGAAGACTGGGGGAAGTCCACTTACCTGTTCCAGAGGTTCCTGGAATCCAGTTCCTGACATTCCTGGATCCTCCCCTGTCATCCCCATGTCTACAGGACATCGTATAGCCTTTCCTTATTGTCTTGTTCCCCTATTGCAAGGGTCTGGGCTCTGAGGCTCATCCCCTATGGTTACGTCTGTGCTAACATCCGAGCCATTATGGTTATATTGCAGAGAGTCGTAGTTTGTTTATTTGTGTTATCTAAAAAATATCTTGTTTTATCTAACCTGCCTGTGTCTCAACTACACTAAACCCCAATGATACATGTGGAGGGAGTAGGATCCTGAAGACAGCCCATCTTCTGACCAGTAAAATCATAGATCTAACTGTTCTGGGCTAACAAATGGACCCCACCTGGCCAACTCTGAAATGACCAGCCAGTAATTAATAGCAATATGACTTTGCAAACTTCCAAAGAGAAATTGCCACTTGCTTTTCCCCTAAGAAGCAAGGGGGGAAAATACACCTTACTCCTGCAACTTGAGGTGTCAGAATTTCCCTCATGATCAATAATTTCATCACAAGGGGGACATTTAGGGGAATGAGAAGCCAAAGTTAAGGACATCTCTCCAGGGCCAAATTAACTCTTCTGAGGGCCTAGGGCTACTAGATTTTATGGGGCCTCACTAGGCTCGGAGTGTTTCTGGGCAGGAGAGGGCACTTACCTGGTGCAGCTCTTGGGATGAAGGTGCACAGATGGCGCCATACCACCCAGCACTTGCAGGCACCTCCCCCTTCTGCTCCCATGAGCTGTGTTTCCTGGCCAATGGGAGTGACGGGGTGGAGCCTGCAGGCCCCTTTACTAACTTCCCTGTGCTGCCACTGCAGCACGCAGAGCTACTTCCTTCTTCCCACCAGGCAGAGCCAACCACTCAGGGGCTTTATCACCAGCTTTCCACTGCTTCTTCCTGCAGCAGGGAGCTAGCACTTGCGCTCCAGCCACATGGCTGAGGGTGAGGAGAGTATGAATACCAGAAGCTGCCTGTCATTCATCATTTTGAACATTTCCTCTTCCTCACAATACTACCAGTTATAGTAATACTCATCGAAATTCCACAAACAGAGAAGAATTGTGGATCCTCTATTAGCAATGTTTATTAGAATCATGCTGAGAATTGTAGGGTCCAAGGTCCTAACAGAGAGGTGGTAGCGACTGAAAGAAAGACAGGCAGGATTTGGGAAATTTTAAAAATGGTGCAAAAATTACAGAATGGAAAAAGTTGCACTGGGGAAACTTAACACCTAGTTCCCAGAAACCACTAGACAAATTGCTGGTATCCAACAAAATGTCCCATGAAGCTAGATGGTGGCACATGACAATGGGATAACCTATCCCAGGTAAACTGAGTTTATTTTTGATGCTACCACTTGTGGTGAAGATGCACAGTGTTAACACAACAGCTAGTGCACACTCTAGCAATATAAAAAAGTTGGTGAAGAAAATGATGTAACTTCTGTTGATCAAATTTTGTAGTGTAGATGCAGCCTGTCATGAATTATCATCACTAGTTCAGTTAATAAATATGTGTCTCCAATCACAGTTGATTTTACCACAGCAGCCTCTTATCTGAAGTCAGCAAGTACAAGGATCAATAATCCAGTCAGACATCTAGAAAGACTGTCATCTGTTTTCAAATGATTGTTAATAGTATTACAGAGTAAAACAACCATCCAGAAACAATATTTACCAGCTTCTGTCTTCTACTTTCACAAATGGAGTTTTCAGTCGACCTGGTCAATACACACACACACACAAACAAAACAAAACAAAAATCACAATATTTTCCCCAAATATTTGTCTACGAACTCATCATTACCATGAGATATTTTTGTACACTTTTCTCAAGCCAACAGCATCAAGAGTATGTCAAGGATGTTTCCTCAGACTATATACTTTTCAGCATTCAAAAAACAAGACAACATAGAAACATCAACAAGTGTAAAAATACTTACTTTTTGATTTCTGAACACATTGCTTCCCCTAGTTGAAAGAAAAAAAAAGCGAATATTATTTCTATTGAACCTCAACATTCAGTGGAAGATTTCTAAAATAGTGTGTTTATGTTTATGTGAAATTATAATTAGCTGATGTGAAAATTAGGCACATGAACATTCTGACAATCTACCATGTTTATTTCTCAAATACTGCAGCTATGCAAAATTCTGCTACTCACGAGTGATTTTTTTAACAAATTAATAAAATGTCAGTCTTTTGATTTTCAGTCTAACTGCAAATCAAGGCTGTACTACAGGAAATATTTTCAAATTTCAAAATATTAGTTCATCTATTGGTTAAAAACCAAATACTCAGAATCCCTAACTGCTACACCCAGGAGATTCAGTCAAAGTCTGCAAATGACTCCAAAAAGTTGATTGTACTGCTTTCCAAAGGAGCATGTACGGTATTATCTGGTATTTACATATTACCGATCAGGTGGACTAGGCATCCTTAAAAATTCACTGCCTTAATTAAAAAAATAAAGCTAACCAGTCAAACAACAATAGCATAAAGAGAGTCAGGTAGATCAGAAACTGGAGGGAGCGGGACAATAAACATTTATGTCCTGATTCCCCACCAGATTTGGAATTGCTTGAAGGCATTGTACTTCAGTGAGAAGATGGGAACCAGGAGACTTTTGCTATGCAATCTAGACAGAGCAGGCCAAATTTTTCTATGTATTGTCATCATTTTGATCTACACCTCGGGCACATGTGGCCCTCAAGTCTGCTCATCCAGCTCTGGAAAGATCACCCCAATGCAACTATTATACTGGCATAAAAGTAGAAGTTCATACACATCCATAGGAAGGGAAAGACGACCATGGTCGGAATACCATGAAGGCATGACAATATCTCAATTTTCTGGCTTGTGGGGTCCCTAGTAAACAAAGTAAATTAGAGCAATCCCCAGTCTACTGTAGCTTGGTGTAGAGGCTGTGGCCCTTTCAGAAAAAGATAGCTACCTATTACATAATGCGTGTTCTTCGAGATGTGTTGCTCATGTCCATTCCATACTTGGTGTGCATACTCAACACATGCACGATATTTTCCCCTCAGCAGTATCCATAGGGGACCGGTTCTGGCGACCCCTGGAGTGGAGCCTAAATGGCACAGTATAAAAGGCCATGCGTGCTCTCCACACCCTCAGTTCCTTCTTGACGGAAACACCAACTCTGGGAAAGATCATGGGTCTTCTCTGGCCTTTCCCTTATAGGAAGTGGCTTTAAATCACGTGACCACTGTAGGCTGATTTAGTTTAGTTATGACCTGTCCCCAGGCATTAAACCATGTACCTAAACTACTAAGGGATAACTAATAACTATGAACTATAACTTCCTTTTTATAGGAAAAAAGGCCATTAGGCAGAATGACTAACAACGCTAGCACTAGGCAGAACTTTCCAGCACTGTCACTGACAGCAGGAAGGAACTTGGGGAGTAAAGGGGAGAGCACACAGCACCTCTTATAATGTGCTACTAGAGGAGTCACCAGAGCCATACCCCTGCTGAGGGAAAAAACTTCCAGCACTAGTGTATATGAACACACTTACGTAACGTGGAATGGACATTAGCAATTATTCGAAGAAGAACTTTCTGCTATTGTCTCCTAGACGTATTTTTTCAGAACAACAAAATTAGGGAGATTAAAGATATTATTAGAAAGATTAAGGGTATTAAAATCTTTAAAAATGATGCTCAAATATTTAGTAAGCATTTCCCTTCTGATCTTTAAACTGAGTTGATTAAAAAAATACTGAGGGCCCCTACAACATACCAGTTATCAGAAAATATATAAACTCATGAATAAGATTGTATTTAAATAAAATCAACCAGCATCTTGGAATGAACTATTTAATGTGTTTTTGTCATTGCTAAAAGTTATTTTACTAAGTTAGAAAGAACTCACCTCATCTTTGATAAAAACACTTGCTTTCTTGATCAGATAGAGCTCCTTTTTCTTTTGTTCAAGGTAATTTTTAATCTCTTTAAAAAAAAAGAGAATTTTATATTTAGCCAACCTGCTTTTTTGTGTACTTGAAGTTATTTGTTTTAATAATACTTTTAAAAGCAAAAAATCTTGTCAGTGATTTAATTAAAATGAATTTCACACCTGTTGATTTAAAGTTTATAAAACAAATATATTTACCATCAATATGAAGTATTTTCACTCCCCAGCTCAAGGCATTGGATAGTATACTACCTGAAGGGATTAATTCCTGCAAAAAGTAAGCTTTATTAATATTTAAAATATTTAATAAAAGCAACACATTTAAAGGTCTGATGTAAAGCAGATCATAAGAAAAGCTGAGTGATTCCTGGTAAAAGATATTGCCTCAATTGCCTTTGCAATCTCCATGTCACAATACCTTTCCATCCATAAGATACCGAGCTTCCATAAAGCCCATATTGCTCACATTCTTACTAGGGATGTTAAGGACTAGTTAGTTGACTGACTATCCGATAAGCAAATGCTTATAGGATAGCTGACAGGATAGCTGACTAGTCGCTTACCTCCCCTTGCAGCCTCTATCAGATAGAGGCAGCAGGGGGAGTAGGGGAACCCGGCCCTTGGCTGAGCTGCCCCTTTGAAATGCCACTGTGGCGTTTCAAAGGGGCAGCACCACACAGCTGATCCCAAGCTCAGTGCGGCACTGCCCCTCTGAAATGCCACCACAGCATTTCAAAGCAGCAGCATCGCGTGGAGCCCAGGGTCAGCTGTGCTGCACTGCCCCTTTGAAATGCCATGGTGCCATTTCAAAGGGGCAGCGCTGCATGGAGTCCGGGGTCAGCTGGGAAGTGCTGCCCCTGTGAAATGCTGCTGCGGTGTTTCAATGGGGCAGTACTACACTATATACTAAATTGAACAGTAGATGCAAAAATGCACTGACTACTCGATTAGTCAATTACACGATACTTAACATCCTTAATTCTTACATGATTTGTCAACTGGGAATCCTGAAACTGCTGTATTTATTTATATACAGTAAAACTCCGATGTCCGGCATCTGATGGTCCGGCACTCCTGATGGTCCAGCACCATCAGGAACCCGGAAGTGCTCCGGGAAGTCAGACCATTGGAGCTGCTCTGCCCCCAGCTTCCCGGATTCAGCCGCTGCTAAAACTGAACAGCGGCTGAATCTGGGAAGCTGGGGGCAGAGCAGCTGGAGTGCTGCCGGGGTGGGCCCCTAGCGCTGCAGGACCA